AATCAACACTTTATCATCGGAAAATAGCATTCACCAAGGCACCTCCCCTTGGATATGTCGCAACAGTACATCCATCGCCAAGGCAAATAAACATGGGCTAAGAGCCGATCCCTGGTACAACCCCATCAACACAGGGAAATGCTCCGAGTCACCACGCACAGTCCTCACCCGAGTCTTAGCATCATCATACATATACTTAATCACCCTAATGTACACTACCGGAACACCGCTAGCCTCCAAACACCTTCACAAGACCTCCCTCGGGACATTATCGCACGCTTTCTCAAGGTCAATAAACACCATATGCAAGTCCTTATTCCTCTCTCTATACTGCTCCACTAATCTCTTTACCAGATGAATCGCTTCCGTAGTCAAACGCTCTGGCATGAATCCAAACTGATTCTCGGAAATAGGCACGCACCTCCTCACCCTGGCCTCCACCACACTCTCCCAAACCTTTATAGTGTGACTCAACAGCTTGATACCCCTATAATTGTTGCAATTTTAGATATCACCCTTGTTTTTGTAAAACGGAACCATCGTACTCCACCTCCATTCTTCGGGCATCTTTTTCGTCTTAAAAATAACATTAAACAACCCAGTGAGCCACTCCAAACCTGCTCGCCCCGCGCTCTTCTAGAATTCCACCAGGATATCGTCTGGCCCCGTCGCTCTGCCCTACACATCTTACGCATCGCCCCTTCCACCTCCTCTACCGTAATCCGCCTACAGTACCCGAAATCCTGCCAACTCTCAGAGTGCTCCAACTCACCCAGCACAATGCATCTATCCCCCTCCTCGTTCAACAGTTTATGGAAGTATGTCTCCCATCTTCTCCTAATAAGTGCCTCGTCCATCAATACTTTGCCATCCTCGTCCTTGATGCACTTGACTTGGTCTAATTCGCGAGCTTTCTTCTCCCTCACCTTGGCCAACCGGTACAACTTCTTGTCCCCGCCTTTGCTCCCGAGCTCCTCATACAAACGAGCAAACGCTGCGTTCTTAGCCGTCATAACTGCTAACTTTGCCTCTTTCTTTGCCTTTCTGTAACACATCCGATAAGTCCTTTTTTCCTCCTCATTTGTACTCTCCACTAGCTTCAAATAAGCCGCTTTCTTAGCTTCCACTTTACATTGAACCTCTCCATTCCACCACCAGTCCCCTTTATGACTCCAGGAGAGCCCTTCGTTACCCCTAAGACCTCTCTAGCAGCTTCCCTAATGCAATTTGCAGTCGTGAATCACATACTAGACGCGTCCCCCCTACTCATCCAGGCCCTCATAGCCAATAACTTCTCCCCCAACTCCTGAGCTTTGTCCTTGGTCAAGTTAGCCCACTTGATCTTAGGTTGCCTGCACCCCACCCTCTTCCTCCTACTCCTCTTGATCTCCAGGTCCATAACTAGGAGCCTATGTAGGGGCGCGAGGTGCTCACTTGGGATGACCTTGCAGTCAGTGCACAAACGTTTATCGCATTTCCTGCTGAGAAGATAATCAATCTGAGTCTTGCCCATTCACTTCTGGAAAGTGACCAGGTGCTCTTCCCTCTTCGGAAAACTCGAGTTAGCTATAACAAAATCAAAGCTCTAGCAAAATCCAACAATGAATTCCCTCCCTCATTCCTATCCCAAAAACTGAACCCGACATGTACATCATCATAACCCCTAGCACTAGCCCCAATATGGCCATTGAAATCTCCGCCAATGAACAACTTCTCTGTGTGCGGAATACTATGCACCATCTCGTCCAAATCCTCCCAAAATTGCTTCTTGACCTCCTGGTCCAAACCTACCTGAAGAGCGTATGCACTAATCACGTTTACAGTAAACCCACATACTAAATTAGTAAATAATTTGTAAAAATAATAAATAAATAATAAAAAATTTCATTTATGCTTGAAAAATGATTTAAAACGATTACATAACATTATAAAAATATAGAAAGTCATTTTTATGTAAATAATATAATTATGCATATATATGGGCTATTATTGCAAAATATGCAATTTTAGCCTAAAGATGCAAAAAATAAATATATATAAAAATATTTAAAGCTTAATATGGATATAAATTATCAAAAAATTAGATAATAAATTATTATAAATTATTTGTGATGCAATTAATAATTATTTATATAAAAAATGCAGGAATAAATTGATAAGAAGTCTTTAAAAATTATAGAAAGTTATGTAAAAGTACTTGGTGATGCTCATGCACTATTTTGAAGATATATATGCATATTTAAAATATGTGAGGAAAAAATTGGGTATCAACACTATACCATAACTCGTACTTCAATTTATCGCCATTGAGGTCTGCTACCAAACTCCAGGTTACTCTCGTTGCTTATCCTATATGTATAAATCTATGTCTTTAATGCTTATTCATTACTGTTCATCTTAAGAATGATGGCCTAATCTCATATGATACTTTGTAACTTTTATCCATCCATTGTTGATTCACCTCAATATTGATCTACAATCTACCACTGATAACTTGAAACCTCTTACGTAATCACTAGGACTCACGTTGCATCGAGGAACATTAGAAGTGATTTTGCTGATTCACATGGGGTGATACTATACTTCCATAACCATATTTCATAGCATCCCAATGTGATTTACCTTACGTTGGTATTTTAATCCTGTGCAATACATGAAATACCCTCCTTTTTTTTTTTCTTCAAATCATTAGTCTATCGAAGGCCCAAACCTCATCCTTTATCTATCACAATTACACTCTTATTCTACTACTAGGGAAGTATTCCATCTCTTTTAAATGCTATTAGTCTTAGACTCCTTTGAGTTAATTCAGGCTATACTGAGCTTTCTATTACTTAGAGAAACCATCAGCTCTCTTGTTTTCATGGGCTTTATCCTGAGGAATTATCCATTCCCGTCACCTTCTCACTCACCCTTTCTTATCCTTACTCCTATCTTCCTAAAACCTTGTCGCTTTACCATACTATAGCTTGCGACCTATACATATCTATTTATACTTCTCGCAACCTTCCTTCAACTTTCTTGCACCACAGATTTCCTTGTGTTATTTTAGAACATCAAGCGAAACATCACATTGTCTCTAATTCTTCTTTAATCTCTTAGATGGACCTCTCGATACCTAGAAATCATCGACTGGAAGATATGCCACTAACGACGCCGCTATCCCTTAGTATAACCGGCACACACAGTCCCTTAAGCTTAACTTTGCTCACATTGCTTGTTTTAGGGAAGTGTCTTTTTGAATGACCATTCTATGAATATCTCATGAATATTCTTCAGTTTTTCATTCTAATATCGCCGGAACACGATCTGAAATTCTCAAAAATACCGACCATTATCAAATCACTCAGTCCCTAGTTCATGTTTAGTTTATCTTGTTCACCAGTCCATACTGATTTTTATTACTCTGGGGTCAACTTTTCCTTCTGGTGATCGCGTTAGAGTCACGTACTTATTTCTCGAAATAAGGATATGACTTTATGGCCTATACATCTTTTGTTGTGTCAAGGCCTATCACCTCTCATTCTTTCCTTCCCTTGGCTATAGACTCTGTAATACTATCATTTTTTATCTACTGTTGTCATCCATGTATCACATCTTACTCATAATGCTTCATTATCTCTCTTCTTATTTCCCTGCTAATATTTATGTCTATTACTTTATTCTGAAAACTTCAACAAGTCATTTTTTTGCTTTTAGCTCCCCTTGCTCCATCCCCTGGCTCTTCGGGTTGCCTAACATTCTCACTCTACTAGGGACGGGAGCCACACTAAGGTAATATTTATCCCTTCAAGACTTCCAGTAACTATCTTTGTAATTTTATTTTGAGCATCATAACTAGCTATACTATTCTAGAGTGCACCATCTGGGTGTCTCACAAGGAGATCTATTAGTACATTTGCAATATCCTTCGGAAGTGTCAACTAACGCAAACAATCCATCCATCATTTTGGGTTACTCTAACCCCAGCGGGATCCTGATATCCCGTCCTTCTCTCAAACCATATTTCTTAGCTCCCATTGGGCATAACTTGGATGGGTGTGGCCAATTATACATACCTCTGTCACTACTGAAGATAACTCAAAATGCTTATATTTATCTGCTTGAATTGTAAATAATGATCATATTCACTAACACGATACCTCATACCCTTCTTCATCTTGCTTCTTTTACTTGTTGAAACTTGTACCTTTTGAATCTCTCATCGCTTTTCACCATATGGGTGGGTAGATATTTCTACCTTAAGGCTCCTTATCAAGAGGCTTACACGTCTTAGTGCACAGATGATCTGCCGAAGACCTCACGTTTATCCATCATATGAATGATGAAAAATCGAGTTCCTCTAACTCAACTCTTCCATAACCATATGCAATCTCTTACCAACTGACCTTCCAGATGCAGGTATCGTCTTATTACAAATAAAGTAGAATTTAGGACTCTGAATTCTTACAAGTGAGCACTACCACAGATCTAGAGTAAGAAGAAAGAGTGACAATCCTAAATGCCCTGTAGCCTCCTGCAAGTGTGGTGCACAACACACCCATAAACAAGACTCTACTAGACACGGCTTGTAGACTCCCTAGGACAGAACTGCTCCGATACCACTTTTGTCACGACCCAAACCAAAGGGCCGTGACGGGCACCCGACGTCTTCCTCAACTGAGTACCAACGTAATATATCTTTCTTATCGTACTATCATTGGTAACTGGCCAACACGGCCACAACTCATAACGTATAACTATAAGTAGGGAAGCACTGTATCAATGAACCATCTTTCTTAAAACATGAATATATATGGGCCGTCAAGGCCTCAGACATACTGTACAAGATGAACCTCTATCTACAAAGCCTCTAAGAGTATTTGACATCAAATGGGATAGGGTACCAGCTTACCCATAAGTCTATAGAAAAATTCTGACACGATGACTCATAGACTCGGTTGCACTCCAAATGAGGTAGAGTCTTACCGATCCTTTGCAGAATGCTAACCTCGTCTACTATGGTGGCTTGTCAAACTTATTGTCTATACTTGCAGGTATGTAATGCAGCGTCCCCAACAAAAGGACGTCAGTACAAAAAAATGTACCGAGTATGTAAGGCAACATAATAATTGAAAGCTGAAACTGACTGATAATATAATAACTGAAAGTAACTGGGAGTCAAAGATAATTTAAAGATATGCTTACCTGCTGATACTGACTCAACTCTCTCTATATAGTAAGTAAAATAGTTTTCAAGCCTTATAAGGCTCGGTATGTATAACTGCTTTGCCGTAGTAGGCTCGCTCATAGGCGCTCGACCATACTAGGCTTTGTATCTCGGCCAACTAGGCTCGCTCATAGGCGCTCGGCCACACTAGGCTTTGTATCTCGGCCAAGTGGGATCGCTCATAGGCGCTCGACCATAGTAGGCTCGGTATATAACCTACCATCTGATCTGAGGTTGCCCAGTAGGGGCCTGCCCACCAATTATTACTTGATGGTGGTGAAAATATTGTAATACTGTATATATATATATATATACATAGACCCTCCGCTCTCTTGACCGGAAGAAGACAATACTCAACTGAATATAAAGTCCCGATAAGGGAGAATACTATAAATAATGAGATTAGGAAAATGTACATAACGGGATATGAACTCTCTTATGTCTCGTT